TTGTAAAGAACATAAGTTATTCATCATTGATCACTTATTAATATGTAAAATATTTAAAAAAACTCAAACAATTTCTACTACATCACAACTAGCAAAAGTATCAAAATTAAAAATTTTAAATCATATTTAATTCCAATCCTCTTAATATTATTATTATTAAGTTTCTTTTTATAATTATTTATATTTTATTATTCATTATTATATATTTTATATTTATTTGTTTGAATAATTTTTATTCTTATTTAATTTTTGTTTTATGATTATATTTATTTATTTGAATAAATATTGTTATTATAATTTCTGGGTTTTCATTCTTGTTCTTCCATTAGTAATTTAAGATTGTTTTTTATTTTTTTTTTAATTTTGTACGTTTTGTCTATGTTGTGTGTGCATGGGCCTGAGATGGAAAACAAACGGTGTGCCGACATCCTCACATTCTCTTAATAATTAATAATAATAATAATAATAAATAATTTTAACGAAGCGTGCTTGTTTTATTCAAAAATCTATTTCAGTGTAAACGCAGATAATGATCGTGCCGGTCGATATCTATTATTATTTGTTATTATTATTATTGACTATTAATACAATTCATAATAATGATACACCGACCGTCGCGCGACGGGTTTTATTTATATTTTTGATTGATACAACGCCACCTATTAGCAGTCCGTATAAACATAATATTAGCTGCCGAAAAACTCTATACCGTGGGCTATCTGTCTATTATAAAATCAATGGTATTATTGTATCGTAATGAATTACGATGAAGGTTGATAATCATTTAAGATAACCTATACAATAAATACAGTACCTTAAACTATAAACTTATATTTAACTTATAAAATATACTTTATTTTTATAAAATGTATTTGTGCTTATGGTTTGTTAAAAAGGTATTATTTATTTGTTTTTTTTTTTTGTGCTTATAGAATACTTAATTTTGCTCCTTTTGGTTGCGTTTGAGTCATATTTTTCGCTTATGGGCTACAACCCGCCTGTTTAATGACTATACGGATTTTATAAGTATGACGGTCATTTATAGTTATATTGGAAAAATATTTAATCTATAATGACTGACTTTACTTTATCAAAGGTACCTACCTATTATTATAATTTCATCGTTGTGTTTTGTCGTTGATTTATTTTTATTTTATCGACACTCAAGACTCGACAGTGTACGAGTGATCGATGTGCGATTAATTGAGTTTTGAGTTAGTGTGTTTCAAAAAATAGTAAATGATTTTTATACAAATAAAGTTCAATCTAAAACAACAAATTTTTTTAACACAACGTTTTAAATTTAATTAATTTAAATATAACATAATTTAATGTTTTTTTTCTATGTGTATTGAAGTTACAATTTTTTTTTCATTTTGGTTATAATGACCATCGATTATTATAATCTATTTTCAATAGTCTCTTGAACGTCATCATAAACAGTTTCTATTGTATCACAAAAGTATTAGTAGTATTACAGTACTCTTATTTCCTAAAGACTATAATTAAAAGTTATCAATTAATACGAAACTTGAGAACTTTTAATCAATAAAGTATTATTATTAGTTTTTAAATCTAATGTTATATTACATGTAAATTGTAATACACTATAATACATTACCTTAACGAATATTACAATATTCTTTTTGTTTATTATTATTTCATAGTAAGAGATAAAAAGATTAAAATAAACACGCACCATACCTAATAATTGAAATCATAATGATTCAAATGTATTATATTATTGGATATCATAATATTTCAGTAACAAAATGTGAAAAAATATTAATTTATAACTAAAGTTGATGAAGTAAATCAAACATCTGTCTACAATTACGAGCTTATTGTTTGAGATGAAGACTGTTAACCGTTCATTTAATAATGTATTAAAAAATCAAAATATCGGAACTGTAATCAAACGAAATATTATGCGATAATAGCTGTTCAAATTCGTATACAAATCCCTGTGTGAGCGCATTTTTAAAATGCAAATCTTGCGAAACTCTCAAGTTTCAACGTCTAGTTTAATCTTTCCGATGATTTTAGTCATCAGGACAACACCGCTCATATTATAATATGACTAAAGCTGAGATTTAAATGTCCTAAAAATCTCAAAAAATGCCCAATAAAAATGTTTTTATAATATATATTTATTATAGCTTAAAAATTGGAAAAAAAAATGTATAACTATACTACAGTAATGTTTTTTTTTATAGTATTGTTCGTTGTTACTTGTTTAGTTCTTTTGTACTTCTGTTTTCTTAATAATTCATTCTAAAATATTAATTTAAAAAAAAAAATGTGATCGACGATAGCTTGTACCTATGTCTTTATATGTAATGTAATAAAAATAATAATACATAATAGGTATTAGGTATATAACGGCGATAATTTGAGCAGAAAGGTCTAACTATGATAAAATTGTCATCGATGATAAATTTCTGTGCTAATAATTTATTATTCGTACTGTTGGCAGTTTTCCGAAAGTCTGATGGTAATTGCAACAATGTTCGTTCATCTTATGAAAAAACTAAGAAAATACACTAAGTCGTCAAGAAATGCAAAAAAAAAAAAATTACTTTAAAATAATCAGTATCGTCCAAAACACATTTTATACTTACGGACCATCGTTTAAAAACACCAGAAAAAAAGATGCCTTTGCATCAAAATCTCAGCTTTATATATAACAATCAATAAACAGTATAAAATAAAGTGGCTTTTTTGGGGGGGGGGGGGGATAAACTCCGAAACGGCTGAATGGATTTTGATGCAGTTTTCCCTGTTGGATAGACAATTGTGAATTAACCAAGTCTTTGTGTACAATTTTGTCATAAAATTTATCAAGAATGTATTTATGATATAATCAGATTTGTGCCTCAGATACGTAGGGTATATTGCTATTTAAATAGCCATCTGCAATAACTCCTGCGATCTAATAACTCTCTGGTGCAGTAGCACTTAAATAAAATTTAGTAAAGAAATAGGTAGTCAGTCTCTCTAATTCGAACCTCTGTATCCGGTGTCCATTTTTTTATATTTTTTACTTATTATTTATTAACATTTATTTCTTAACATCATATTGAATGAAAACTGTTGTCGCTGTAGCGACGTAAAAAAAAAAAAATGAAAATTTAGAGGATATTTATTGACTTGCTATTATTTTCACAGGCGACGCCGACAGGGACAGCTATAATCCGCATGACGAAAACTAGAGACTGGCTACCGTCGTACCCCGAACCTCATCCCTGTGTAATGTATAGACATTAGACATTGATTCTCGTTCTATTGTAATCACCTGATCACGGTCTGTAATGGCAGCAGCGCATAAATTATTTTATTTTTTAAAAACCACTTTAAATATAGTCAGCTTTGATCAGTCAACCGTCAGTTTTCGTGAAGCGGACTATAGTATAGACTAGTGTTTCCCAACTTTTTTTTACTTAACGCCTATTTAAGATTTTAAAAATCTCACACCGCCTCTCAATCACATAATTTCAAAATACTTTGACCTTTTTTGAGTTTTCTACATGCTAGAGAAATAGTCGATTTATTTTTTAGTTTATACCAATTGAAAAACATTGAAAATAGATACTATTTTTTTTTATACATGGATTAATCAAAGTTGAATTTTGTACAAAATTCGTCAAAATCACAAAAATTTATAAATTAGTATGTACTATACTACTATGTAATAAAAAATGTATAAAATATTCAACCAATACAATTAATTTATGTATAGTGCGTAATAATTTAAAAGGACGTTATAATATTTTATATACCGGGTTCGATTATAAGCTTTCAAATTAATTACAAAACAGTATAAAGTTACCTTTCTTCTTTCCAACACCGACTTCTCTATTGATGTTTTGAGTACGTTGTAAGGTAACCAGTGTGCATTAAAAAATGACAATACTTTCTTTATTTAAGTAAACTTATTAACTTTATTACAATTCTTTTAATACATGAATTATTTAATATATACATATTTAATTTTAACTATTAACAACTTCAATACTTACGTCTTTTTGTATATCGGATCTGCGTAGTCTTTTACTCTCGCTTGTGATCGTCTATACAAAAAGACAGTAAGGACACTGTCTTGTGACCGACTTTTTTATTATTAATATCTTATATCTGTGTGCTATCTATCGTTCTTATAATTTTATCTTATTTAATAAACGACTTATAACTATAGGTTATCATAATTATTTTAAATTATTTAATTATACTGTATTTAATTTTAATCATATATGATTGCTTAGACGCACATCATTACAAGTGTAAAATATATAATATAAATGTGCCTTACTAATTACTTGGCTCATAACTGTTTATAAACTATGGTGATTATGCTGTAGTAGGACACACATAACATACTCAAAATATGCAAGTCCAAATAAAAAATACAATGATATATATCTTTAAAAAATTTAGATTATACATTTTCTTAACTAGCATAAGGAAAAATTTTAATTAAATTTTGCTTTTCAATATTAATATATTGTATGAGAGTATAGTATACGCCAGCCCATATTGAAATGTATGTAAAAAAAAATAAGATAAAGAAAAAAATGGATAAGTTTGAAAATTTAGTTTATTTAAAGCAAATGGTAATTATGTGAGAGGGCTCATTAAAGAAGAGAAATTAAATAGAAAGAAATACATAAGCTGATAGTTATATCTTTTTTAATTATACACACACACACACACACACACACATATATATATATATAAAGAAATGCAGAAGTCTCACTATGATACCTTTTTCATATTCCTTAACATTTTATCATTTTATTGCAGTTATTATTTAACTGAAATATAGCATTAAGTACAATAATAATTCAAAAATATTTATTAAAAATGATAAGTAGCATCAAATGAATGATAATAATCATACAAAAATTTAAAAATAGTATATGTATAATTATAACTTAAAAATGAATATAAAAAATAACAAAACAACTATTAATAATTAATAACACAAAACAATTAAAGGTACAATGATAATTAATAAACTGAGTTATAGTTTACAAACTTTTACTAATGGATATTTACTTACGATTATGGTATCTATAATCTACTGCTTCAGCAAGAAGTATGGCATACGTTCTGTTTGGAGAATCTAATTGAGCACCTACTGGTGCTAAATAATTGATAGGTAACACATCAATTATAATTAGATGTGCAAAAAATTCAGCAATGATAGATGATTTGAGTGAATCAAATTTGTAGCTATTTACATAGCTGTGCAAAAAAAGAACTTTCATCATCTCAATATATAAATTGTTTGTTTCACAGAATTTCTAAAAAACATAATATATAATTAGAAAATGAAATAATTCATGCATTAAATTATTTTCCTATATTTAAAATGATCTCCAAAAATTTAAAACAATACTTTCTATACTTTAAAAATATCAATAATTATTTATGAAATTTACTGAATTAACTAAAAATTTTATTTTCAAAAACACATCATTCATTTCTACAAAGAAAATAATATTTAAGTTCACTTAAAACTACATATTAATGCAATTTAAAAAAAAAGAAAACTTTTCAAAGTTACAATAACACGTACATTTGAGTTTTTTGAGAGAAAACTATTGTATATTTTTATTTTACATTAATATTTTAATAACATAGAAATATATATAAAAAAAAAATATATATAGCATTTATTTAGTTATATAAACTGGCTGATAGAAAATATCAGCTCAGAATTGTTTTATGAATATAATGATATACCATTGAATTAAAATTTAACACATTCATTATAGTCACTAAATCGACACCTACTGTACAGCAAAGCAGTATATACTTTTTTAATAGTCTAAATGATGTGTTATTAGATATTTTTTAATTTAATATTTACTTTTGCTAGAAGTCCAAAATCATCTTCATACGTATCCCTTTTACAACAACAGTCCAAAAGCATAAAACAAATGTCCATTTCTTGACCAGGTATCATCATGAATTTTTGATAAAAACCTTTATAAACTATCGATGAGTCTAGCATTGTGTTTATAAACGTTCTTAGACACATCTTTTTTAATGATACCACATTTATATCTATTTCTATTTTATTAATCTGTCTTATAATTTTGCTCACTAGAAAAATAGTAACATTTATTAAAGTATTAGGAAATAATTTATACTTGCCTTATGTTTTCTATTAATAAACAAGTCATGTGTCATACATTATGAAAATAATTATGCAAAAAGAGAATGCTCTTAAAATTTGATTTATGGTATAATAGTTAATATTTTAATTAAACAGCTCTTACATCTTTGTTCAGGAATAAAATTATACGTAAACTTAACTGCAAACTCGCATCTATATTCTTCTTCAGCATCATATTCGTGTAATAGTTTTGACACCATATTTTTATACATTTTTTCATTTGTTTCAATTTCAGGATCAAAACGATACTCTATAATTCAAATTTCTAATTTCAAAATTCAAAATATTAATTTTAAATAAATATAAAATGTATTACCTATTGGATTTGATGTCATAAAAGAAACAGAGTCTATAGTTAAAAAATGAGTGATTTGATAGTCAAAATTTGGTACGAAATCAGTTGATGTGAACTTGAATTCAGTTTTGCGTAATTTTAATATTCTCAAATTTAAACTATTGTCAACCTAAAATAAAATAAATTATACTTTGAAATAAGAATCTAATAAAATATTTGTAGCTAGTTAAAAATGTATGCAATATTTAACCATTAATAATAAATCTGAAAAATTAATCTTTTGAATAATTAAATCCTATGGATATGATATGAAATTAAAAAAGTATTTGTTTACCTCATCATCATTTAGTTCATCATTTATAAAATTGTGAATTTTATCAAATATTTCATTCAACCACTTTTTAAAGACTCTATTTATTTGTTTACCACATATTTCCAAAAGTGTAAGAACTATTTCAACTGAAAACAAAGTCTCTTCTCGTTCAAAGACATGTGTAACCAATTCTACAGCCACCTTTGTATCAGCCTAAAATTCATCAAACCTGTAAGTTATTTAAAATAAAAATATACATTAATTAAATACTTACAACACCATGACTAATCAAATACCCAATGAACTTTGAATAATCATAAATGTTTTCATGTAATATATGATAAGTTAATTTGAACAATCCCATTGACCTGTCCAAAACTAATTTTCCTATCTCAGGGATCTAAATATATAAAAAACAATTTTTTTTTAATAAACTGGACATGGCCAATTTAAAATAATTATATTGAAACACTTACTACAAGATTTATGACAGCAATCAAAGCTGCATAAACATTTGAATTTTTGTCTAAATGTGTTGGATGTAGTACACCTTGGATAATATAATGAGAAAACAGCTCTTTAAATCTTAGCAAATCATGCTGTATTAACTCTTTTTTTACAATTCCAATATTATTATCATTGAGTGAGAGTAATAAGTAGCTAATTGAAATGTGCGATTTATCCCAAGAAGTTCTTTGATAAACATCACTAAAAAATTGAATACATCAATATGTCAAATTAAATCTTTTATTAATGATAAAATGTAAGACATTATTTAATTCCAAATTTTAAAATTAAACATATTCAATATGTGTTTTTATTTGATTATTTTTTTAAATTAAATTTAAATACAAATTTTCAAAACTTAAGATTTTAAAAATTGAACTGTTTTAAGATTAATACTTTAGAAAAAATTATATTAAACTGAACAGGAAAATGTTTGATTTTATTTATTATCTACTTAATAAATAAATTTAATAGTTGTTATACTTAATTTTATGTGCATTAATAATTTGTGCCTATAACATAAAATAATCAGTAATTTGTATATAACAAAAACTAGGATTTATATGCAATAAAAAATGTAAAATACACATTTGATCTATTAAATATATGCGAAAAATGCAATTAATATTATATATATGAAAAAATATGAAATTACATAAAAAAAAAAAAAAAAAAACATACATTTAAAAATAATTAAATTAATATTTTTAACAATTCATGATATTCAGATGTATTGCATAATACAATTACATGGTGTTTTAAATTTTTAAACTAAACCATCTTCTATTAGACCTCTATATGTCCTTTTATACTTTATAGGTATTTTTGAACAGCGTTAATACATACTGTCAGAAGATAAAAACGTTTAGTAACAAAATATACCATAAAACAATAATTTTTCTTGTTTTTATAGTCAAAATATAAAATAATATTAATTTTATATAAAATATACATAACAAAAACAACACTGTATATCTCATCATAATATGATTCGTGGGCATTACTGACAAAAGCAAAAATCAGAATTTGGAAAAAAAATACTGTTGCATATAAATCCTAGCCCTATTAATAACAAAGTCAAAATGAGAGGCCACAACTGTATTTCTTTTAAAATTAAAGTGTATTTAATAAATTTAATATTCCAGATGAATGTTAAAAGAAACATTACAGTGTCAGAAAATTATACATTTATCGTTTTAACGCGTCTAAAGAGGTATAAGATAAATTATATTGGAATTGAATTAATATTTCACATACATAGCTCTATAAAATAGGAACACAATTACAATACATTTTATTTAATTAAAAAATAAAATTATAAAATATAACAAATACCTTAATTGATCTATTATTCCTTGCTCATCATTTACATTTGATTCCAAATCTGTAAATTCCATGATTTAAGTACAGCATTTAATCATATATATGTTATGGCAATTTAAAACAAATAATATAGCTTATCCAATGAACACTTATAATTAATTCTTACGTCCACAAATTATTAAATCTCGATGAAAATTCATAAAACATATAAAAATAAGTTGAAAATAACCCATATTGATTATTTATAATAAATTTAATTATGTATTTTATATTATACTACATATATTTTTAAAAACTAATTCAAAAAATTAAATACTTAGTATTTAAGAAACGAAATTGTAAATTTGCAATAATTGGAATAAACAACTAAAATTAATATTTAACTGATAATTGAATTAATATGTAAAAAATTAAGAATATATTGAAAATTAAGACAACCTTTACAGTTGATACATGAGAATCTACAATAGATTTCCTTTTGATTGTGAAATTATCTTTCAAGCAAATGCAAATTTATAGCAATATATGTGTGATATTACCTTAATAACTAGATAATTGGGTCGATTATACCACTTTTCTGGTAAGATTCATAATCACAGTGGCCAGTTTTTTTTTTTTGAAAATTTAAATAGTATGTTATCATTTAAACAAGCTAATCATTTGATAGCTGAAGCCACAAATAAAATATAAAAATAAATACTTCGCAAAAATAATAAATAAAAGATTTGATATTATGAATCACACTCCATAATTTTTACAATTTGAATATATTATAATAACTTTACTTATATGATGAATACAATGAAAATGTATGAAATTATATAAAACACGTGTTAATCATTTTAAAAATCAGTAAGTAGGAACTGATGTTCAATAATTATCCAACACTTGAGATAAAATATAAAAGTTTGTATATTTTATAGTTCATAGTAAAATAACTTTTTACTCAAAGGCCATAAAAATATATATAAAACTTTTACAAGCAAAACATAAATACTTAATAAATAACATTTTACAATTTTATTTTCATAGAAATGTATAACTGATATAAACAAAATACACCTATAGCAGTTGTTGGATGGGAATGCTGTTATTCATAGTAATTAAAATAAATTTAAGTTTAGCTGTTTAGAATAGTGTAGTTCTTTTAACTTCTTTAGTGTAAACGAAATAGTTACATAACATATAAACTGTATCTCATCAAATAGGTACTTAAATAAAAATAAACAAATATATAGAATAATTCACTGTATTTTAAGGGTCTGTAAAAATTTGTCCCAGACCATAATTTGGAGCCTTCTATAGAACACCAACATTTACACTACAGTTTAATACTTGACCAGAAAAATTTTAAATTTGTTGGTACACAGCATACAATAATGAAGATCTTATAATTTATAAAGAATCTGGTTCACGGGTATAGTCTATGCTCGATTGAGCCAT